CGTGAGCAAATTCACAGTACAGACACAAAATACGACCTCGCTTCGAGTGACAAACTGAGGCAAGTAGCCTCTTCCGTTTCACCGAGTTGAGAAAGCAATGACGTACGGATATACAACTGACAAAAGCAGGGGATGAATCGTTATTTGTGGCGAAAAAAGTGATGAACACGGGGAGACTGGTTGGAAAACATTTTCGCAGCTACGCCACTATCAAATTTGTAGTGCGCAAGATATCATCAAAACCAGAGAACCTTCTCTCCTAGACGATCTACGAGGAATCGGACACGTTGGTGGTAATTAGCTTAGGAAAGAAGGGTTGCACATGAATGCAAATCAGCAAAATCGACGGTTACAGAGGGCAATGCGAGCAATTAATATGCGAAAATGAATAAAATGCTACGCTGTACGAAACACGTTGCTCGATCAAAAATGAATTGCTACCTGTTGGCTGTGCATCTGATCTCGTTCAAGCGCCTGTTCGAAGCGATCAAGCAGCTGCATCATGTCAGCGTTACATTCAAAATCGTTGAAATGATTGTTTACCCAGAGTAGAACAATTCGAGCGATCTGAAAGAAAAAAAAAACACACACATCGACATCAAATTCACTGCAAAATTTAGCCAGCAATGAGAGTTGTCGATCCGGCGAATTCTCTTCAAACGCGTAGCGAAGAGGTATCTAAAAATCATTGGGCATTTTTGTTTATGATGCTCAAGTGAGGATTTTAGCGTCGATAACGTTTAGTCATGAGCAAAAGGTGAAGGTACCACAACTGCATGAAAATCACAAAGTGATGAAGCAGATCGATGAATTGGCTATGTAATATTAGAGTGCGTCATCAGGATGTGTAAAGTTTGGCTAATATCACTGCACTGGATAAATGAGTCTTAAATTATCTGAACGGATTCTGGAATGAGCTAAAATCGATAAACAGAAATGGCAGTGCTGCATCGGGTAAATTATTAAAATCTATTTTGCGTCAGCAGAAAGCGTTTACTGAGCAAATCTGTGTGGTCGCTCTATGTGTCTTTTTTCCCGTCACTTTGAACAGACTTCGGTGTAAAGGCTTCCATGTTTGCTAAGAAATGGTAAAATGTAGGAACCT